GGGGCGGTAATTATCTATGTCCGCTGTAGGTCCGGTTTTGTGAATGGGTACAACGTAGGATTTCTTCCAGCTATTTGGATATGTTCCACTCCTTATTGGAGTTGAAAATATCTTGAGAAGAAGTATATTCATGTCATTTCCACCATTTTTTAAGAGGACGGAAGACATTCCATCTGGGCCGGGAGTATTAGTAAGCTTAAGAGTTGTGATAGCTTTATCGATTTCTTGGGCGTTCAAGACTACATCGCTTAGACACTTTTCTGTTTTACGAGGGAAATCTATATCCTGGTCATTTTCTAGAGTGTACAGTTTGGCAAAGTGCGTGCTAAACACCTCACATATATCCTCAGCACTTTCGTGAGTAATGCCACCTAGGTGTATTATTTTTGGATATGTTGATTTGGAGTTAGTTAACCTACTTTTGAAGAGTTTGGCTATTTCTCCAGTGTTATGTGGCGACTGAATTGCCCGCGTTTCTTTATTCCTAAGACTTAGATTTTTTAACTCATGGATTCTAATGAGGATTGTTTTGATAGCGATTAACGACGATAAGTCGTCATGTCTATAGTAACTTAATGAATGCTTCCGCAAACTTCTTCTTAATGATATTGGAATAAAATCACCTTGAGGGATTTTGAATTTAATCAGTTTCACAGGCGCTATGACATCATTAACCGACTGTATATTGTCATAGAAGTTTTTAAGGACTTCCTCTAAGGAGTCATTGGTAAAGTAGGAATCCCAATTAGAGTATCTAATCAAGTCCTGATACAAGTCCCAATCAACCCGCGTGCATGGTCTTATAGGTGTCCGACTAGGCACCTTCTCGGTTTCCAGCATCCAAGTTTGGCTATACCACACTTGCCTGGGTCGAAATTCAGTTGAGACTTTTCGCTGCGATCGCCTAGATCGTTTAAGTCATGTTGGGTCTTGCACACGACGCTCAGATCATCGTACCCATAATCATATACTATCTTGAGATCATCTGCAAAAGATATGGCCTGCCATACTTGATCACAGAGACTATGCCACTTATGAATAAGAAGAATAGGATAGGGTCAAAAACGCTACCCTGTATTACACCACTAGTTATTGGCTTTGACGAAGACAGGTAGTGATTGATTTTGACTATTGCCCTCTTTCTGTGAAAAAAGAATTTGTGCATTTGAAAAATTTTCCGGTTATTCCGTGAGATTGGAGTTTTGTTTGGGGTCTGATATGTGGGACTTTATCGAAGGCCTTGCTAACATCGGGAAATAATGTTGTTACCGAACGCCCATTATCAATGCATTGTGTAATGCAGTCAAAATAATCTAAGTGGCGAGTAATGCGTGGCCTTCTACTTAGGAAACCGTATTGGGATGGGAATAGTAGGTCACTACAGAGTAAGTATTCAGTGATTTGAGTTTTCAGTATCTTTTTCATTACACGTAAAACAACAAATGTGATCTTGATGGGGCTTAACTGTCGATATCAGCTCTAGGCCCGTATTTATGGATGGGTACAATATAAGGCTTCTTTCAGCAGGTAGGGTGTCAATGTATCTGATGATTGAGCAATCAATTCATGGTTGTTCGCTCAAACCCAACTCCCCCATATTTTTCGCGGGAGTCATCAATACAGCAGTCATAATCTCATCGTTCACTATTCAGAAGATTTAAAACTATCAGAAACCTTGTGTAATATCCTCATTGTTGGTTACATGTTTGTGTAGGAATAAAAGATTCTCGAGTCGCCAATCAGTGTTCTGTTTTTGGCGTTGATTAATACAAAGCGTTTCTGAAATTCTTCAAGGGACAGCGTTAGGCACGGAGTAGCAAAAGCTGTACATTGACAGTTTGTGAGAGTTGTCTGACGTAGGGTATATCCTATCGCCTAATGAAATTGAGTATACACTGAGTAGGAGTAAATTCATATCATTACCATCGTTTTTCAGCAGAATGGAAGATATACCGTCTGGACCAAAACGGGACCAAATCGTTGTTTAAAGCCAACAAAAAGCCATTGTAAATGTATTTCCAACGACGTCAGGGGCCTGGTGACTGTACTCAGGCAGGTGCTTTTTATCTGTTGCTAAGAATTACTGTTCCGAAACAAGCACGGAAATCGAGTGGTTTTGGAAGTCACCAACTTATTATGGATGGGATCTCGATTCAGAGGGGGGACAGAAAAGGAAGACGCTGTGGTTAGGATGCAGTGTTCACTTGCAGCAATCTCCGGCCAGGCTTAGTCGCTATCATCAGGTTCCCGAATGCTGTTGTTTACTGATCAAAAATTTACGAAGTGGAGCGACCGAGCATCCTTCGATCATTTGCCAATTGGAAGAGCGCTAACCAAGATGTATGTGTACTTAAAGATCTAAGGAGTGACTACCTAGATGATCAACAGTAAGTGTAAATCTTTGTTGGGAAATCCAAAAGACAGATGAGCGACGAAGATGCTATCGGGAAATTTCAACGTTGTCAAACAACGGTGAAGTTTGATATCACAGAGATAACGGCTGTTTGAATATCCCCAAGCATGGTTCAGAAGAATATAACAAGACTTCGTCCAGAATAGTTTCCAATATATGATAGTAACAGACCGATGTTTTCCAAACACCCACGCGCTAATTGTGGACACCCACTGCGCAGACGTTGACTGATAAGAGCCTGAAATCGGGCAGTCCTGTCAAACACTTTTAAAGAGGGCAGAGAGGAAACTGAAGTTACAACCATATCGGTAGTTTTTATAAGTGGTTACTCAAAGCCTGCTGGATGGCTAAATCAGGAAACACTCAAACTAAAAGGAATCCTGTACGAAGCTCGAAATAGGTTCAGGGAGGACCACTCATATGCTACCAATATACTGGCAGCTCGTAATAATCGGACAGTATCCCTAAGACAGTACACAAGTATTATACAGACCTTGACAAAGTAGCCGACGAGTTGTCCATTGACATTATACTACGAAGTGTCGAGAATGGAAACTGGAAATCACCTGCTGGCCTGTATAGAAGCCTGCATGGAGAGCACAGAGTTTGGCATATAAATGAACCAAGAATGCTTTGCATTGTAAAAAGCGACATCTAGGGTATGCTGGAGGACAACTCTTGCCTTTATAAACGACCTCCCCAGCAGCCGGAGCTCTACATCACTTCTGTATTTCGTGAAAAATAGTGGGAAACATCGAAGACTACGTCAAGCCGCGAGGTCTAACCAAACTGGGTAAGTGACCTATGGAAATAGGACTGGCTTTCAACATAAAGAGATGTCTGGCGATACCCGCCTGCGCACCGAAAAAATCAGATCCTCAGAATCCTCTTTCGTGTGTTTTAACACTCTGGCACTATAGTAGAGTGTAAAGTAAGGTTACTCCTAACAAACAGAATAAAAACGGGTGCTAACAACGCGTGCGATGCAGTAAATCTACTGAACGTATCTGTTTCGTACATCCGTAGTTCTGTAGCTGTACAAGGTTTACACGCGGCCACACTGGGAATTCTGTAACACTACTACTTAACCACTCCTAAAAAGAGCACAAAAGAAGTCCACCAAAAACGTCACATGACCTCAATACCACACAATTAATGGCCGACTCGAACAACTGAGTCTCCGTACCATTGGCTGCCACAGAATCAAGGGAGTCCTCATCACCGTGTACATGATAGTGCGTAGTCCAACGAGCCGTATTTAAAATCTTTTTCAGAAGGGCGCTATGGTACCCATCAGAGCGGTCCCCACAGGATCACTCAACTAAGGTCGGCAACAAAATCAGAGGCTAGCTCCTATTCAAACAAGTTCTGCCTTCCATGAAAAACGCCGCCCACTAACGTGGTGACTGATGCACAAGTCGATAGTGTTGAAGGAGGGGTAGGCCACTTTATAAAAACGGTTGAGCTACGTGTATCAACAGGGAAAAGTAGTCTAATTGAAGGGGACTATACGTGTACTACATACGTAAATTCATCTTTACATAATTCACTATTTCATTATAATTTCACCTACGAACTCAACCTGCACTAGTCTCGCTAAGTTATTTTCTCTGATTTATGTAATATATACCATCTTACTTGTCCTAAAGCCAGTCCTCTTCCCCCACTCTTCATTCACTCAGTTTGCTCACACTCTAGATATCCCTTCAACTCACCTATCTTCAGAGTATTTCGTGGCAAATCGAAGGAATTCCGGGCAAAGCAAAATTCTCAAGTCTCGGCCCCACTACAGTCATAGTACAAATCATATGTTCTTACCAAAACCAACTGACATAACCCTTCTTATTGTGTTCAGAAATGCTACAGCATCCGGACAAACAGATTTTACTGGAAGCATTTGGAGATCTAGAACTGTTCCGATGCAACAAGAAGCGAGAGTCAAGAGACGTTAGGCTTTTTGCAACTTCACTGAAAAGAGTTGATGGCATGGTGGTAGAATGTTTGCTAACCATATATGTGGTTCCGGGTTCTATCTCCGGCCGACAAACTCAGTTACCTCGCTAAGCCATTAATAAGACTGGTGAAGAGGGAAGGTTGGGCATGAGGCAGCTAGCAACTCTGTCTCGTAAAAATAAACACCACTGCCACCGAAACTTCAAGTCTCTAGTTTGGAGCCCTATGTGCCTCTGGGAAAGTTAAAGGAATAAAATAATACAGATAAAAATAATTTCGCTGAAAAGATATTGGATATGAGACATATCTGGCAGAAAGGTGGTTACATTATATATATATATATATATATATATATATATATATTAGCTCGTAAATACGATATTGGATACGACTTCATATCACTTCTAGAAGAAGGAGAAAATCACAATGAAGTTGCCACGATGGTAAAAATGTGCAAAGGCCTGGTTTGTTCACAGAATTCATTTAAAAATGACGTGTAATTTCATTTGATTGGGAAGAATAACTGAAGAATCCGTCCGGTCTGTATAGAACATATTGTACTTGAGATTCTTTTAAATGAATGTATTAGGTCACAATGCTATAGAAACTAAGTGTTGCATTTTTGATTGCTAGAATGGACTCTTCAGACCTGCATTTAGCTATTGACTATGTTGGATCATGTGGTATCGTTCTAACTCCTGAGCAAAAAGCAACACTTCAAACTACACTTACTATTCTAAAACATGAAAACAAATTCACATATGTATCATTTTGGGGTATTGTGAGGGGAGTGAATGGAGACTATTTTATAGCACAGGGAATCGGAAAAGATGTTTTAAAAGATAAAACAAACCTGTACAGGTAATTTAATTATGAACGCCGAAAATATGTTTTTTCAGCAAAGACTGTTCAACCTGGGGGCTATTGCCAGTTCCGGGTAAACAAGATATCGAAAAGAGCAAACTTTTTAAAACAAGACTCACCGGTGACCCTTCATATGAGGCTGAATACGTTGAAATAAAGCAAATGCCTGGTGAAGGTGATGAACTTGTTGAAACTGAGGAGCTTGTAATTATGAATTCATTATCCATAGTATACTTAGATTACCATGAAAGAAGAAGATAGACTTGCTGCCATTATTTACCGCATGGAAGAAGAGGTAGTTATCGTTCCTCGCGGTGCGTACTTGAGATTATCCAACGGTCAGGTTGTCAGGAATAAATCCTTCGAAGGTAAACCTGTGAGCATATTTAAAGAAGAGTATTTAGGCTTGACCATTGCAGAAGCCTCAAAAGAACTTTCATACTTTCACTGTCGACCTCCAATACATATGCCTCACAAGCCACTAGCTGACCGCGCAAGGCTGGATAAAGCCATTGATTTCCTAGATACTATTGAAGATGATAATCCAAAAGGTAAGGCCATGACATTCAACAGGAGCAAACGTTACAATCCGAATTTTCACAACTTATTCTAACTACCAGTTATATTTTGATCCTTTTCAGGGGCAAAAGCGCATGTTTTTACGAGCCATAAAGCCAAACTTGAATAGCGCTAATCACTAAGATTTTTATTTACCCCAAAATTTTTTGTACATTATTTTTCTATCTACTAAACTATATCAAAATCAATAAATAAGCCAACTGTCTAGGCCTAACAGCACCCAGCTAGGCTGTCTCGCTTACTACCCGTAAATCCTATAGTAAGCACAGCATAAGTCATATAGACGATACGAGCGTGATTTACACCATTCTCATAGCCCGCCTATATGACTGTGGATGGTTTTGGTAAACGTATAGAAGCTATTTGCATGCTAAATTGGTTGGTAGGAATAAAGATTTCATTGAATTTGGTGGCTGCTGGCTTCGTTTATAGGGACCTGTGGTCATTATAGCATCGCTACGAGTGCTGCTCTTGCCTATAATAAAACATTTGGCTGGTATTATGTGCGAAACGAGCCCTACTGGGCTTGTTTATGCGGTGCATTATTGACTGATGCTATTAATGATCGGCGTAACTATTCTTTATTGTGTATACTAACAGTGCGAATGGTCCACCGAGGGAACGGGCTCTCGAGTGGTTACGCCACAGGATGATACTGCATGCCAGTCTCATCTCGAAAGAGGTAGCGATAGGTGTGTTTGGTTCTCCTGAAAACCAATAACCAGTCAATGGGTGTACCATTATGTGAATAAACTGGCTTATCCTACCAGTATTCATTTGCTTGTCTCATAGATTAAGCCATGCATATCTAAGTACATACCTTAAAACAATGAAACCGCGAATGGCTTATTAAATCAGCTATAGTTCCTTAGATCATATATACTACATGGATAACTTTAGTAATTCTAGAGCACAGTGCTTGTCACATTGGCTTTCTCGAGTGCAAAAGAAGAGATAATTTGAAAAGAAATTGAAGTACCTACTTACACAGTCTCAACAGTTATGCGAAATTAACAAATTACGAAAAGTGCTGTTACTTTCAAATCAAATCCCGCTACACTCATATCCATACAGCTACAGTCAGTAATAGGTAAACAAACACAATTTCTAACTACCCACTTTGGTAATCATTGTGAGTGCCTTCAAAAACTTTGAATTTCCCTAAAAGTGAAAACTGGAATTCAGAAACTTCATCAACTAGGTCCTTCATTGACTTCGTATAAGTCTCATCTTATTTCATCAAGACATTATTTGAGTTCATCTTTGAGTGTTACTCAATTCCTAAATATTGCATTCACCGAAGACTTACTGTCTAATTATCAAATGACTGTTTTCTATGATTAACATTCATATCGTCAACACAATAATTCTTTCCTTACAACTAAAAAAAATAAGAACTGAAACGGTTGTGAAATATGCTTGACTTTTCTAGAGGTACAGGGAAATCTCACAGTCGGTAAAGATTATATAAACCAGCAGACACTAGATAGACGTGTATGACTAGCCTCTTTAGAGCTGAAGAAAATTTCTGAACAAATAAACAAGGCCGATTTACTTTATCACTCCATTCGATCGTAAAGCTTACAAGGGAACCAGACAGTCCACCTGCAATGTTCTGACTCATACTCAACATATATCGGTGCTACATCACTTGTGCAAACTGAGTTATTTGACTTATCCAAGGTGGTAGATTAATTTCGTGAGAAGTCAAAAATATGCAGGGCTGTGAACCTTGTACCCATCTTATTTGGTCAGATCGTGTATGGTCAGCAAAGAAAGCCAGTTATACATTCAGCACTGTGTCCCAAAAACTTAATTACGATACATTTTTCTTGCAAATAGTGTCCATTACCTTAGCAATTTTTACTACCTCACATCTTTACTAAAGTTAAAGAATTAGAGCATACTGAATATGCCTGCTTGTCACAGTCCACATTTTACACCAACATTCAATGACTTCATGGTATGACTACATGTTGTCATCAAAACCCCTTTAACACTCCCCACATCGAATGAGGTATTAAGGCAAATGCATAGTAAGCCTCTTGACAGAGTGTTGAGATGTTGTCAGAAGATATTCTAGGACTGCTGTAACACTTCAGAAATTAGTAAAGTAGTCAGCGAATTCAGCCACTTTACTTTTATGCTTAAAGTGCAGATCAATCCTGCAGCGTCATATTGCACACGAACAGCGAAAAAAAACATACCAAACATTTTGAGATTTTCTGTTAAGTATGTTTCAAAGACTCCAGATTTAACTCATTAAAATTTTTCAAAAGAATGGATACTGAACAACGAATACTCTCTTCGATAACCCCTTCATCATCAGGCTCTACAGTTATATATACATTATAGTGAATGAATGAATAAGTATTATGAACAGCACCAATGCTGTTTAAATAACATCGAATCAATAATATTGATAGATTACAGCTCAATAGCATCAACATAAAATAAGCTGAATGTCAAACAGACAAATTAGGAAAGATAATATTACAAGTTCATAAATTTATAGTCTCTGCTGAAGGCCGGTCAGGGCAGTAGTAGTAGCGGCTGGACTTTCTTCTTTTGAACACAGAGCACTGATTGTTTGAGGCCAATTGCAATAGCCTCTGCTGTTTGGAACACATGGTGTTTCGATGATGATTTTGGCAATTTATTAGGCACCCGGTAGATGATGATAGAGAAGGATTCTTCAATGCTGGCTTTGTGGCCAGCCGGTTTGCACCAGATGGTTCAATATCGAACTGTTAATGGTTCTAACTACTCGAGCACGAAAAATCAAGTTCCTAGAGCCAACGACCAATATAACCCGCTCCACAAGCGCTGTTGAATTGATAGATACAATTTGAAGTGGCCAGCTACTCTGGGTACTTCGTCTGTCAGTCGAGGAATCACCATCGGTCGTGTAGAGAATAATACGTGTAGTTCGCCAGCATTAAACGTTCTTTGAACTGATTTTCTCGTAATTATCTCACTTGGTATATCGCCCTTGAATTGTAGTCGTATATAACGTGGCTCCTTGTTTACAGATAGTGACTCCAGATTTCATCACTGCCTTAATCGTAAACGGATAACACCATCTACATACGCTAGATCGCCAAAATAAAACTTTCTCTTGTTACCACTAAATCCAGGAAAATACTGAGAGCAACCAGTGCACCTATAATGAATCTAAATGTGACTGGTGACATGAAGCACTACTCATGGCTGAAAAAAACCTTCTACGGTTAACCATTTCTAGATTTTAAATTTGTCATCATGACTTCGAATAGACTACACTGAGTGATAGGAACCAGCATAAAATAGAGGCGTACTGGTGTACCAGTCGAGTTCATTATCGTTAGAATAATTTAACAGGCGCAAACATAACAACAAATTGGCGATAGGTTTATTCAGTTATAACAGTGTGAAAAAAAATGTACTCCTCGATACCCTCTCAGTCGAAGCAGTAAAATGTCGCCCTTAGGTCATGAAATAAGCTTGTAGTAGTGAGTAAGCTCGCATTTCATAACTTCTCTAACAGTGAAGATATGATCCACCAATCAATCAATCCATCCTAGTCCAGTACACTTTTAATACCTTTCTAGTTTTAACGGATTCGTATTTTTCTAAGCCACACTGTCTGTCTGTTTTCGACATAGAACTTTGCACAAATGTGCGGAAGTTCAAGTCGCTACACTCTGTGTAGCACGCGAAGCAAGAGAAGAAAGTACAAGAAAAGCATAATAGAGACAGTAAGCAGAGGTGTGAGACAAAGGAGGAGTAGTAACGAAGAACAAAACAGTTTCATTGGAAATCATAAGTCACAAGGAGTGGATGCATGTGCGCCAGCCACTGAGAACGATTTTGAGCCATGTCACCAATTGTTTCCAACTGTCATAGATTTTCACCGTCCCGAGGACCCCAACCTGGAAATCTACACCTTCCTACGTGGCTTAGACTAACTGTTGTGAATTTCATTGACTGGTAAGGCCAAGTTTTTGTTTGACCGCCGCTAGCTTTTTTCCATCCTGACCCTATATCCGCTAACATTGCTCGTCAAGGAATTCGATGACTTGGCATACGTAACACATGTCCTAACCATCTCAGTCTTTGTAACTTCACGACTTCGTCGATTGATTTCCCCTGTTTACCTAGAACTCGACGCCTAACCTCAATATTCCTCACTTTATTATGCCACTTTACACGGGAAATAGAGCACAGGCACCTATGATCAAAGACAGCTAGTCTTTTCATGTCTTCCACTCTCAGTGGCCAGGTCTCACAACCATAAAGGAGGACGGAGCAGACTGATGGGCAGTACACCCGCCCTTTGGTCGGTAGTCGAACATCTCGTCTACGCCAGAGTCGGCGTAAACTGGCAAATGCGAAAGCCACACTTAATCTTTATAAAAGTATAGATTCTAGAAATATTGCAAAAACGATGAGCATGTTACAGAGAAATTCACTTCTATAGTTCAAGTATATTCGATACCTCTGAATACAATCCAGTACCAATAGACACAGAAATGTCTAAAACCTCCGGTATTGCTTTTTGTAGGGATTTAGTTTGATTGGTTGGATTTTATCATAAGATGACACATCAGTTAGAGAACCAAAAACCAATACTTGAAAATTCATCTGATGTTCACTAGAGCGACCTGGGGTTCTAGTAGGAAGCCGTTACCAGTAGGCTGCAGCAGGTTGAAGGTGAGGCACTTGGAGCCCATCATCATGAATTGGCAGGAGTTAGAATTCATGGGCTGACTGGCCATTGGATCAGTCAGGTCCCAGTGGCTTAATGGTCTACAAGGTTGCTTGCCTTGTAACCAGAAGGTCCTGGACTCGAACTATGTCATCGGTGGGTGTGTACTGATGAAGAGTCCCAAACTAGGCTAACGACGAAACAGCTGTATGGCAGTACTTTTTTACTTACAAATTAAAGTGATAATTTCTGCATCTTTTTTTTATTTTATTTTCTAAAAAAACAACAACCAGGTTGTTGGATTATACAATTTGAACGTGGAAGTAATCTTGTCCTGGTGAAAAGTCTTCTATGGATTGGATATGTTTTATACCATCTACCTGGGACAAATAAGTATGGATCGATTTATGTGGGGACTGGAGAATACAATATCGATCTACCATTTATGATATAAACGGTATAAGAAGGTATATACACAGAAAAAGAATTTTTTTTAAAAAAACGCAAGTTAAAATTACAAATAGAAATAGAAAAAAAAGTACACTAAATTTACTCTTATATTTTTTTGATGTATAAGAACATTCACAGTTCAAATCAATTTAATTCAATTCAAAGACAGTAAAAGTAACATTTGTACACAGACAGCTATTATTATTATTATTATTACAATGAATTAGCCCAATCTATTAGGTATCAGCTTATATAAGACACAAGAAGAAGAAAGAGAAGAGAAAAACACAAGGCATTTCTTGTTGTATTTCACACAAATAATGAAACTGAAAAGAAAGGCAATGCATGTTTAATTAAACATAGAAATATATGTATATATCACAGAAATATTCTTTGTAGGAATACAAAAAGTGATTATACAATAATCATATAATAATGATAATGTTGTTAAAATAATAATAATTATGTTTTAGTATTAGAAGAGAATTTATCTAAAAATGCTTGTCTATTTCTACGAATTTCTTCAGCTGGTACTACTCGTCTGTCTGCTGTCTGGCTAGTTGTAGAAGTCGTGGGCGTTAGCGTAGGAGTGGTTGTCGTTGTGCAAACGGCTGCAGTTACATCTCGACCAGAATTGATATCACCGCCTACTGTAAGATGTATTGTCAATCATAGCGAAAAATAAAAATATAAGATGGGTAAAACAGTATTTTCAGGTAATCGGTATAATATATATATATATAACAACAGAAGGCAAGGGCTGGCAACAGATCATTTTATTACGGAAATCAGCACGTATTTATATATATTTTATGTACATTATTAGAGCTTATTCAAGTAGACAAACGCAGCCTTCTGATTGATTGTTTTCGAGTTCCTCGTAAAGTGGAGCCATCTATCTGCGAATCATGTTTGCCCACGCTTAAGTCTGCTGTGATTGGTTGTTGAATCAGCCTTGTTCATATTTTCTCACGGCCAATATTAGTGACCTACACATTGACGTAGATTAATGTCGACCAATTGGCTAGCAGCCTGCTCTCAATATATATATATAAAACAAAATTTTGAGAGAACAATTGTGATTTCTATAACTTCTTCTTCTTCAGGCTCTACAGTTAGTTATAAATCCACGAATAAATAGAGTACACATATAGCCAGCCAATAGAGGCAAATGAAAATTATAATATCAGAAACTGTATTGGGGTGGTTCATGTGTAAGTTGAGATGATAGTCGTCCACTAGTTAACATAGTCAATCAAATTTGTATAGGATAGGGTGTATAGTCAGAAAAATGTGATGAAGTGTGAATTAACAATTGCGTGGTGATATGGTGCTGTTTTATAGTCAACAGAATACAAGTGTCATTGGGGTGAGAAAAATGCGATAACCACAAAATACATGTAAATACACATTAACAAAGGGGATACTGAATGTAAGGGCTGACCGATAATGTCTAATGATAAAATAAAGAAGCTAAATCGTAAATTGTAATAAGGTGTTACTGAATTGGTAGGCTTAGCATAAAATCATAAAGGTTGACAAAAAGTAAGGGTACTAGTGAGGTGAAATAAACTGGTTGGAGAAATGGATAATAAAGACATGATATCACAAAATGATAATAATAGTACGAAAAATTATGATCCTGGTGACCTTATAGTAGGCCAGAGTAGACAAAGGGAGTGAATAAGTTTTTTCTGTACACATAGGTCTGGTCTTCATCTATTAATCTCTAAAGCCTCAGCTGTGGCTAGGAGGCGTAATCGTGTGTCTTTGGGGAGACTGTTCGGTACTCGATACAGATTGGTAGTGTTGCTCAGATATGAAGGTTATATGGCAAAGTTAGACTTTAAGCACCATCAACTATCAATCATAGCGCGAATGATTGACCTCGAATGCACCAATCACGTGAAGGAGGCAATTTCGCGTATGGAATACTTATATATTTATGAAGAAAAAAATGTATAAAAACTGTAGAAAAGTGTTACAGAGGATGCCTTTCTCTCAAATATGATAAAAAGATAACTCTCAGTTTCAAGTTGGAGTATCAACTGATATGTATCCACATGATGTGTGTGTTTTGTTTTTGACAGTCTGTTATATTTTGCTATGTACATATGGATCGATATTCCGTTATAACTGACATCATGCTTTTGACTGTCCACTAACTAAATAAACAATGTATGACCTTGTTGTCACATGACATTACAACCAATCATGGTAAAATGACTGTCTATTGGTTTATGTGTATTGGTCATTTCCATATATACTTTGGTACTGGATTCTTGTTCACACTTTTTCGTACGCTAAGTACCATTTCACTCACACTCTTGTATGACATTTATTTTCCTTGTCTGGAAAATACAAGTATCATCGTAAACCTAGTGGTCTTCTGATTTCCCTCTTTCCGCGTCAGGACTATTTAACTACTCGACGAGTACATAACACAACAGAGTATAATTCCATTGTGGCGAAAATTTATTTTGATAAAGTCTCAGTCATCAGTAAATATTACTACTGTATAACATTGTGAAACTTTATCAAAATAAATTTTACCCACAGTCGAATTACACTCTACCACAGTACACATGTTCTATTCTTATATAAACAGAGTAATTTAACCACATTCTATGCATGCAATTATTTATGTCTTCTAACCCTAACCACCCAGCGTGAAAATATCCCTAAACTAACTGTAATCTAACTCAAACCAACCCTCATCTCGCCATCATTAGGTTAACCTAACCCTAACTTGTGTCCTTGGCTTAAAGCGTAACTTAATCTTTCACAAACACCTAAGCTGAAACTTGTCAGATATTTCATTTAATAGCATAACGGTTCGATGAGCATATTTTATTGACGGTGACAATATTATTTGTGAGGTTTCACGGTCATTGATGAAATCGCACTCCATTGGTTTGTTAGTTAGTGGTGCTTAAAGTTGAACTCGCCCGGTTATTATTTTAGTAGACACTAGTGTTAGATGTTAATAAAGGTCATTCTATGAACAGAATGGACTGCTTCCATTGTAGTTTTTAAGACATTCCAAACTATGTTTCAGGATATTTCATCATGAGATGACATCGGTTAGAGAGAACCATTGGAGCACCAGTTGAAAGTAATGGACAGTTGGCTGTTTCGTCAACCTAGTTCGGAACTCTTCATCAGTAGTAGGACGACACAGCTAGCTGTCCAATAGTACTCCCAGCTGGTTTTTCAATGGCTCTTTCTCTCTCTCTAACGGATATCAGCTAATAATGAAATCCTCAAAACCAATCCAATTCCAGCATTTCAACACTTGAATTCAAACTAATGTGTTTCTCTTCTTTGGACAGTATGGTTAACAAACAACCCTTAAGAGTTGTTTGTCAATTAGTATGAGAGTCCCGCAAAAGTAAGCTACAGACACCACAGCCAAGTGACCGTGAATCAGCCGCAACCAATCAGGTCGTTGCAAGTTTTACCTAGATCTGGTGTTTGACTTGTACTGTGTGTGGAAAATGGTTTGATAGGCAGAACACTAAAACACGGACGGATATGTGGAGGGATAAAATGACTCTGCGAAGGTATTGCCGGGGGATATTGATGGTTATGCATTCACAGAAGCAGCCACTGTTATATGAGGGAGTCTGTAAGGGTTGATAAGTCGTACATTATGGTGACATTTTTAGACATTCTTCTCGAATTCGAAACTCTGACCCTTAGTCACAAATGACACCTGAAGCGACCAGTATCTGCTGTAACCGCAGAAACAGAGAATAATAAAATGTCAATAGAACATCAGTGGTATCACCACTCCGACGATATTGCGTTACAAAAGATTGATTACTTCTGTACTTTGAGGAATTGATATCATCGGTCATACTGACAAGACGGTACTTATTCAACAAAAAAACAAATTGTGGTCGGAGAAGAGCAAATCATGTTTGGGTGCTAGGACTGCACGACACAAATCTTCGGAAAGGGTTGTTTTAGTAGAACGCATCCCAAATAGAAGTGTCGGTGTTTTAATACCAATTATGCAACAACTAGTCCTCCCAGGCACTACCGCTCACACAGATGAGTGGAGTTATTCGCAATTATCGTCACTGAGCTACATTCACCATACAGTCAATTATATCCTTCTGTATTGGTGGATCCTATAAGTGGAACCTATATAAATCCTACTGAAGGATTTGAGGTCCACCTGAAAAAACGTATTCGTGTGGTAAATGGTTCCTGAAATGATATAGGATATAGCCAATTAGATGACTTTTTGTATTGACATTGGTATGATATGTCCATAACCACCACTTCTACTATGAGAAACTGAGACTTCTTTTGGCAGCACATAATAGAGATATATACCCTGTATGACTGAGTCATTTTTACTGCATATATATATATATATATATATATCATATAAGTACACTTTTTTATGAATTAAATGTCACTTTTCGCCTAGAAGAATCTGATTGGTTGTTTCAAAGTCATGTGGCTTTGATGTTTATTCATTACTGTTATTATATGCTATTATATGAATTACTTGATTCGAATAAGATAAGAAATCTAGAGAACAGTTCAGCTATTCCACTCACTAGATGCAATTACACCCAACTATACAATAGGCTGGATGGGACAAGATGACAGTTTTAAAATCTAATACAACTAACAGGGTGGAAGGAGACACTGATAACGACGGAAGCTTTGTTTATCGAATCAACTGACAGGGAATACGTGTAATAGGAATGATTCAACACCTGTCCAGTCGGATATCTAGAAAATTCTACTACTCCTACGACGACGACAAATAGGAAAGAATAAAGAAAACTATAAAGCGAAAGTTTCGAAGTTGTGTGATTATAATTGATGATGAAATGATTATTAACCGCAATAAATTTTGTTCGAAACTGTGTCATTCAGTAAATAATACTGTTTCACTCACTGTGTGATACCTCTAATAAATAAACTAATATGGAATTACTTACTACCACAATCTGGCCATTGAAGCTGAGAAGGCAGCAGGCAAAAAGGACCTGAGACCACTATATCAGATAACCAAGTCTCTATCCGGGAAGAGATCAACACAAGTGAAACCTATAAAAGACAGCCAAGGGAACCCAATTACCAAGGAAGAGAGACAGATGAAACAATGGGCGGATCACTTCAAAGGACTCTTGAACCGATCACCACCTGCAACCCGTCCAGAAATACCAACAACAGCGCGCACACAACTGCAAGTTGACACAAACCCTCCAACGAGAGCTGAAGTCCTGAATGCAATCAAGCTTCTGAAAGCTGGAAAAGCAGCTAGACCAGATGGAATACTGATAGGATCCCACATATTTTGGTATTGACTGTTTAATCTTGCATATATGGTATGTTATCATTCTCACACATTTTGGTATTTACTGTTAATCTTGTATATATGGTATATTATCATTCTCACACATTTTGGTATTGACTGATAATCTTGTATATATGGTATATTATCATTCCCACACATTTTGTTATTGACTGTCAACCTCGCACATATGGTATATTATCATCTCTCACGCACTTTGTTATTGGCTATTAAGATAAATTATTTCAAATGCTGTTAGCTGTCCATATTGTTGTAAAATGTATAAATACCATGGCTTTCTTTGTCGTTGTTGCACTTCAATACACAGTCACAGTCCAGCCTTTGACTTTTGATATTTGCGTGCTTTACTAAATCGGAAGGTACGACAAGCAGATAGGCAGATTAGTTCAGGCGCAGACAGAGCAAGGTGAAAACGTCTTCATTCAATTCCCTACAGTTATAACAAATACCCCCTGAAGCGCTGAAAGCGGACACAGACGACAGCAGATATGCTGACTTCATTACTGCAAAAGGTCTGGAAGGAGGGAAAGGTGCCTACTGACTGAGGGAAAGGTTACCTCGTGAAACTACCAAAGAAGGGCGACTTACGCCTCACTCTGCAAGAACTGGCGAGGAATCATGCTCCTGTCGACGCCAAGTAAAATCCTGAGTCGCATTATCCTGGAGAGAATTGAGGATGCACTAGATACACAACTTGGATGAGAACAAGCTAGATTCAGAAAAAGCAAATCATGTACTGACCAAATTGCAACTCTACGCATCATCATCACAGAACAAAGCATGGAATGGCAATCAAGCCTCTACCTCAACTTTACAGACTTCGAGAAGGCCTTCGACAGCGTTGACCGTGAAGTTATTTGGAAACTACTCGAGTACTACGGCTTACCACAAATATTCATCAACCTTATTCAACAGCTGTACAACAACGGCACATGTCAAGTGATCCACAACGGAAAACTCAGCGAGGCGTTTGGAGTAAGCACAGGAGTCAGACAAGGGTGCTTATTATTACCGATGAATGATATTCCTAATTGTGGTGGACTGGATTATGCGTCAGACAGTGGGAAACCAGAAGACAGGGATATCCTGGACCGACCGACGTGAAGAACCTAGAAGACCTGGATTTCGCGCGTGGATGATTTATGTTTGATGTCACTGTCACAAAATCGAAGACTTACAAGCGAAAACCGACAAACTGGGTGAAGAAGCAGTCGGTGAAGACAGGACTACAGGTGAACATAGACAAGATGGAGGTTATGAAAATAACCAATCAACAACAACAACAGCAGAAACATTCAGAGCCAATCACCATCAACGGGAGGGATTTGAAAGAGGTTACTTTATTCACTCATCATCTAGGGAGCATTGTCTCAACTACAGGCAGTCAGAACGGACGAGGATATCAAGTGGAGAATCGGGAAGGCAAGAAACGCATTCACCAACCTAAAACCAATCCGGAAATCTTCGTCACTCAGCATCAACAACAAAATTCGGTCGGATTTCCAATACAAACAACGTCAAGTCAGTTCTTATATTTGGGGATCAGAAATTCGGCGGGCGGGTCACAAAGAATATTTCCAACAGCCTGTTGCAGACCTTTATCAACAACAACTGTCTTCGCTGGCTCTATACTGAAGATAAGATGGCCCGACCGGAAAGAATCACCAACAAGAAACTATGGGAACAAACAAAACAAGAACCAATCGCCCATTAACACCAAATATGCAGGAGAAAGTGGATTGAGATGGATTGGACACTCGCTGAGGAGGCCGCCGCTGGATGACATCGCGCGCGAGCATCAGGCCAGTGCTCGAGTGGAACAAGGCCAAAAGGGAAGTGGCGAGTGGGTCGTCAGTGCAAGGGTGACATGGAGGAGATCGTGTGAAGAGGAGGAGTTAAAACAGTACGGACTAACATGGATGCAGGTGAAAAGCACTGCAGCAGAAGACAGCAGCAAGTAGAGACGTGCAGTTGAAGCCCTATGTTCCACTAGGAACCCAAGGGAACAATAATAATAATAATACCACAGTGCTTTAGTTTTGCACATATATTACTACATTTACAGGCTGATACAACATATGTCGTTTCATAGAGAGACACACAGAGAGAGGAAAAAAGACACTTACTTGCCGTCAAACTAATAGATATTGCTTTTTGTAATTCCATGTCAAACATATCTTTATTCTCCTGTAAAAGAAATTTATATATGTATATTTTTAAAAAAAAACTGAATAAAATGATTTCATGTGTATAAAATGACAATTATTCATCACAGCAATAAGCGCAAAAACTATATCCCCCCCCCCCGCCACCTTTTAAAAATCTTTTTGTTGCAGAAAAATTTGCAGCGAAGACAGTGAAGATGAATCACATTCTCGGTAACAGTAGCTGTGTTTTGAGGACTATAAAATAAATGATGTATCCATTAAACAATGCACGATATATATATATATATATATATATATATACTTTTAATTCCTTTTGCATTTTGAGTGCAACATACGGCTTCACCCGTCAGTGTTGAAATCTCAAGAGCGGTGATTTTTTTTACGGGATGCAGTTGCTAGCCCCATGCTCAACTTTCCCTCTTTGCCAGGATTATACGCTCCATCTGCCGTGTTATAAGTGGTGGGATTTGATTGACTTCAGGATATTCCATCATAAGCTGACATCGATTAGAGAAAACCAGCTGGGAGTACTACTGGGCGGTTGCTTCAACAGCCTAGTTTGGGACTCTTCTGCAGTACGCACCCACAGCAGGGGTTCGAACCTAGGACTCCTGGTTACAGGGTGAGAGATTTCATAAACCATTAAAAGCCGCCGGGACCCGATTGCATCAAGGAAAGTTCAAACAATATTAATATTTGATGATATTAGATGGTTGGAGGCAATCGGCCACCGAAAGCCTTCCCTGGACCTAGGTTTCGTGCTAGTTGGCACTCATCACAGCAGGGCGCATCTGCGACCTTGAAGGAACCCATGTTCCTTCTGAGATTCAAACCCGCGTCACCCAGTGCGGCCTCCAGTCAGAGACGTTACCACTCAGCTACTAGAGCTGGCGATTGACCACCTCCTGTAGGACTGTAGTGGATATTTTGATTGGACACTAGTAGCTAGTGTGATCTGTCTAGTCCTTTCTTCGCTGCAGAGTGAATTCTATCGGTCAGCAGTCAGTCACAGGAAGTCAGTCGCGAGCTCGAATAGCACAGTGGCAACATCTCTGACTGCAGGCCGCACTGGGTGACGCGGGTTCGAATCTCAGAAGGGACATGAGTTCCTTTGAGGTTGCGGATACGCCTTGCTGATGAGTGCCAACTAGCACAAAAGCTAGGTCCAGGGAAGGCTTCCGGTGGCCGATTGCCTCCAACCATTTAATATCATCAAATCAATGTGCGCCGTGATGGCGAGCTACCTAGTGGCATGGTGGCCACATTACAAAGCTGACTGATAGAATTCAGTCTGCAGCGAAGAAAGGACTAGACACATCACACTAGTTACTGACTAGTGTCCAATCAAAATATTAATATTTTTTGTAGACACTTTTTTCTTACCCGAACTAGAGCTTAATTTCATCCTGTGTACTGATACACGAGGGTAGTAGTGTAACAGAAGAAGGCAAGACACAGAAGTCAAGGTATATTTTCAAGTGATCAAACCGCTGATTATATCTATGCAGTTTATATATTCAGTTTAACCAATCACTGAGCATGTGATTTTGGTTAACAACGAACGAAATAGAATGAAATAGAATGTTCAAATACGCATATAGTATTCTGTTGTCAATGCACTAATGAACTGTGGGAATATGTGAGAATAGTAATTCGTTGGAACTCATCGTCTGTATCACACCACCACCACCACCACCATCATAGTAGTCATCCGAGTGACAGACGGTAGACGATATAATACCATTCATATGCTATGTAGCTCAAGTAACAAAAAATAGACATTGAAGTCACTGTGATAATGATGCTGGAAGACAATTTTCACTAAGCGCATATGAAATATAATCTCTTAAAATCGATTGGATTATATATGAAGTATCCTTGACCACATAAAAAAACGCCTTAGTGTATTGCGTCATACATCATTTTTTCTCATTTACATAAATGAATCGCTGAAAAAACTGATTAAGACTATTAGGATCATGGATCTGATAAACAATATCAGGACAGGGCAACATGTAAAAAAGACCCAAGAGATAATTAAAACTAAAAGAGTTCGTTAACTTAGCTATCTGAGAAATACACATGAATATTCCAGTCCAAGTTTTCTAATGGTTCTCTCTCTAACCGATGTCAGCTCATCATAAAATCCTGTAACTAATCAATCAAATCACTACAAACCAATACTTGAATATCAGTGAGATGCTCACTAGCGACTGGCCCTATTCAGGTAGGCAAGTAGTTACCTGGGTTCTAGTGGGAAGTTGTGACCGGTACGGTGCAGCAGCAGGTCGGGTGTAAGGACAAATTACTCGCTAAAGACATTGGGGCTAGCGGTCGTGCTACGTCATGAATTGGCTGTGAGACCTGGCCACTGAGAGTGGAAGACATGAAAAGACTAGCTGTCTTTGATCATAGGTGCCTGTGCTCTATTTCCCGTGTAAAGTGGCATAATAGAGTGAGGAATATTGAGGTTAGGCGTCGAGTTCTAGGTAAACAGGGGAAATCAATCGACGAAGTCGTGAAGTTACAAAGACTGAGATGGTTAGGACATGTGTTACGTATGCCAAGTCATCGTCTTCCTCGACGAGCAATGTTAGCGAATATAGGGTCAGGCTGGAAAAAAGCTAGCGGCGGTCAAACCAAAACATGGCCTCACCAGTCAATGTAATCTACAACAGTTAGTCTGAGCCACGTAGAAAGGTGTAGACTTCCAGGCTGGGGTCCTCGGGACGGTAAAAATCTATGGTTGGAAACAATTGGTGACATGGCTCAAAACCGTTCTCAGTGGCGCAGATGCATCCACTCCCTGTGACTTATGATTTCTAATGAAACTATATTGTTCTTTGATATTACTATTCTCTCTGCCTCATATCTCTGTTCACTGTCCCTATATTTTGCATTTCTTCTACTTTCTTCTCCTGCTTTGTGTGCTACAAGGAGGGAGTGTGGTGACTGGAACTGCTACACATCAGTGCAAAGTTCTATGTCGTAAACAAACAAACAGACTGTTATGTACTAGTTTTCCCGTCGCCAAATTGTTATGTACTAGTTTTCCCGTCGCCAAATTGTTATGTACTCGTCGCTAAATTATTGTTATGGACTGGTCGAGAAACTAATAGTCCTGAAGTTGTAAAGTAGTTCACACAAATTGTGAATGCGAATATATATAAATAATTCAGACAAGCGTGGGAAAAATCATTAGACAGTCTTAACATGAATGGCTAATTATAATGGAGTGTCGATCCAATTATACATAGCGAATATAGCAGACATGCCAACAAACATATATGGATATATGTCACCAAGCAACGGACTGTCAACAAACACTCATATTATATATAATATAATATAAGGAGAATACACATTATTAAAGGAGACAAGTCCATACAAGTGAAGTGGTCACAGACTAACCGAGCAAACAGAAAGAGAGACCAACATGCACACACACACATAAATATATATATGTGGATACATATCACAGACAGACAGACATGAATTGTCAGAAGTTGGAATTTACGGGCCATTATATCGGATCTCAGTGGCTTAATAGTCTACGAGCTCGCTAGCCTTGTAACCAGAAGGTTCTATGTTTGAACTGATGAAGAGTCCCAAACTAGGACGAAACGATAGGTTCTCTAACCGATGTCAGCTTATGATGAAGTCAATCAATCAATGAAATCCCTACAAAAACCAATACTCTTGAATATGCACAGTCTGTATCTATTACCCGAGTAATAATTACACTTACATCTGCTGAAATTTGTAAAGCACGTTGTAAATCTGGATCATCATTTTCAGAAGATTCTAAAACACGCCTAAGTGTTACATCTTCTTCATCAAATTCTGTTTGACTTATCGCAACAACAGCCTCTACATCATCTTGACTTTGGGTTTTGTGTTGTTGAGCTAAAGTATAGCTGATCACATTGTCCTCAGTAACAGGACATATCTAGTTAATTGAAGAAAAATAAAAAGAGAGAAAAAAGAATTCAACAAAACTTTAGAGAGAACAAAATTTTTTTTAGGTGAACAAACATTAAACTTACACATTTATCACAACAAAAGTGTAAGTATCCCAGCTATATCGATTGAGGTAGCTAGGAAATGTGCTAGGCATTCTGATGCATTCACTGTCTTTCTCAAAGAGCAACTTCACATAGATATAAAAATAGAATTTGAGCACTGTACTGGTAGAGTGTATTTCCATTATGGATGAAATTTATTTTGATAAAGTCTTACAGTGTCTGTTATATAGTAATATTTACTAATGACCACTCGTTTCGAGCACAATTCATTACTAGTCATAACCTCATATCAAGGTGTCCGTCAAGGATGCCCATTATCCCGTTTTCTATTCAACTTTATCATAGATGTACTAATGGACTTAACCCTAAGTGACTTCAGTGACTCAGGGATTGACTTGCTACCAGGGAGGGAATAATCTCGTTGACTTGGAATATGCAGACGATATAGTCCTTCTAGGCGAAGACGCTGACGAAATGCAGAGTCTTCTAAACACCTTGAACAGCAATCTACGAATGTTTGGCATGCGATTCGCTCCCGCCAAATGCAAGATGATGTTACAGGACTGGACTACATCGACGCCTAGTTTAAAAATAGGAAGTGAAGTGGTAGAGCATGTTGACCGCTTCTCTTATTTGGGAAGTACCATCAGCCAGTGTCAATGGGTTGATCTCTGACGAAATCTCAGCACGAATACAGGGGGCTCGTTTCGCATTTGCCAGTTTATGCCGACTCTGGCGTAGACGAGATGTTCGACTATCGACCAAAGGGCGGGTGTACTGCTCATCGTTCCGCTCCGTCCTCCTTTATGGTTGTGAGACCTGGCCACTGAGAGTGGAAGACATGAAAAGACTAGCTGTCTTTGATCATAGGTGCCTGTGCTCTATTTCCCGTGTGAAGTGGCATAATAAGGTGAGCAACATTGAGGTTAGGCGTCGAGTGCTGGGTAAACAGGGGAAATCAATCGACGAAGTCGTGAAGTTACAAAGACTGAGATGGTTAGGACATGTGTTACGTATGCCAAGCCATCGCCTCCCTCGACGAGCTATGTTAGCGGATATAGGGTCAGGCTGGAAAAAAGCTAGCGGCGGTCAAACAAAAACTTGGCATCAGTCAATGAAATCCACAACAGTTGGTCTAAGCCACGTAGGAAGGTGTAGACCTCCTCACTGGTTGGGGTCCTCGAGACGGTAAAAACAAATGGTTGGAAACAATTGGTGACATGGCTCAAAATCGTTCTCAGTGGCGCAGATGCATCCACTCCTTGTGACTTATGATTTCCAATGAAACTGTTTTGTGCTTCGTTACTACTCCTCCTTTGTCTCACACCTCTGCTTACTGTTTCTATTATGCTTTTCTTGTACTCTCTTCTCTTGCTTCGCGTGCTACATGGAGTGTGGCGACCTGAACTTCCGCACATTTGCGCAAAGTTCTATGTCGAAAACAGATAAACAGACATATCAAGGCACTACTCACACAACTTTCTAACTTCGTCTATATAATTCCATTATTTTTCATCACTCGATTTGATTGGTAGTAGTATTTTCCACATTTTTGGTATGAGTGGTGAGTCATTCTTATTGCATACTTTGGGTGTAGATTATTCTTTGAGCAAAGATTGAGTAATCAACCTCTCTCTCCACCTACCTAGATTACTACTTTTACTGCGTCGGTGCCACAGTGGTTAGGACTCTCGCCGACTATGTACATGGTCCGGAGTTCGATCCCCTGCCGACTCTTAATAAAGCAGGAATTAGGTTGGTGGCATTTAAACCTACAAACTCGCTCAGGCAGGGACAAGCTCCGTAAGTTAAAAGACCCCGTCGGTTGACCCAATTATACGAAATAATATAATTTACAAAATACCCTGCAATGACCATGAGTTAGGTCAACTACATAGGTCAAACTAGTAGATCGGGGGTAATCAGATTGTCAGAACATAAGAATTTAGCTGAGATTAGATTGACTGATCCCATAAAGATAAGTAATTTAGAAAAGAACTCAGCAATAGCACTGTATGCATTAATACACAACTACACAACAAAGTGGGACAGAGTCAAATATTTTTTATTACAGCTTGATTCCACACCGTATTTTTTGGCACATGTATGGAATTTTCAGCATGTGGTATCGGTAGCCCAAATTTTGCAGGCCGAACATAGATATCAGGTGTGCGTCGGTAGGGGATCGAACCCCAGAACATGTGCAAGGTCAGCCAGAGTCCTAACCACTGTGCCACCAACGCACGGATCGTGCACAAACGGACGAATGAACGTAACACGACGGCGTGCCAGCCAAATGGCGTGGATACTTGACAGTAAGCCTCCAGCTAAACAAATCTACTTAAACAGTGAGGGTCAGCATCCAGCGTTCAGAGATTAACGCTGTGGCTAATAATTCTGAGGAAATATCTACCGCTACATACTCTTGCATTGTTCAAATTCATTATTATTATTATTATTATTATTATTCCCTTGGGTTCCGAGTGAAACACAGGGCTTCAACAACACATCTCCACTTCCTTCTATTTTCTGCCATCGCCTTCAGCTGGGTCAACGATTGTCAATATTCTCTCATCGCTTCCTCACACGATCACCTCCATGTTACCTTCGAAGTAACGACCTACTTGTCGCTTCCAATTTGGATTCCATTCGAGCACTGGCCTGGTGCACGGTGTCATTCCCAACCGATAGCTGCTACCTTGACGTGGTGGTCGGGCTTGCACACCGCGATGACCCAACAAGCTGCACTGGCTGGAACCAATGTTCCTGCAGGTCCTATCATGACACGAAGGTTGTTAGGATAGCGTTTAGACTAAAATCAGTTACCGGAATTGTGTAAGAATCTTTCTTACACTATGCTGGGAGCCTGACGGCGAAGTCGTACTGTTGGGGAACAGGGATGTAACAGCAGTAAGGTGTTTCCCTCAGATGACCAGCATGTCGACCAGCTATTCTGTCTCTGCACTCTGGAGAGAGAGGGTTAGAAAAGGTCGCCCCCAAAATCTGTACATTCCTATTTACCTTACGGTGGTTCGTAACTGGCGGTAAGTTTACTAATACGGAACCAATCCCAGAAACCAGTTCATACAGGCCGTGTGTGACCGGCCTCAAGCAGCTGTCCCCGGGCTCTGTGGTCACGCAACACTAACCCTATCTCTGTTTCAGGTACCCAAAGAATCAATCAACTTCCAAGGTGTGGGCAGCCGAGAAGTAACAACCGCCCACACACTTCTAAAAGCGGTGTCATTCGACGTTTTCCACAATGTACACCCGATCAATCCATCTCCATTTTCTCCTACATATTTGTTGAGTGATCGGCTGCTCCTGGTTGGTTTTTTCCCAGACAGAGTTTCTTGTTACTTATTCTTTCTGATCTTCAGTATGGAGCCAACGAAGACAGCTGTTGATGAAAGTCTACAACTGGCAGCTGGAAATCCTTTTCGTTACTAGTAGGAAGTATTATTCAGCTGTACAGTTTTAAGGGAATTCCATTGATTTCACAGTAGATTTGAATAGCAATTTTAGAAATATCATACTAATTATAACTTATGCCTAAAAAGAGCCACATGACCTTTAAGTAGTAGCAAGCATCACACACACAAATTAATGAACAAACAATTTTAGAAATCAACCCACCCACCACCCCCGTCTCCAATAAATATAGATTTAATGATAATAATTTTAAGTCCTGACAAAAAATATATACAGTAATTTAAAATTGCTATATATCTAATCAACAAGATTTACTAATCACTCTACACACTAACTACTAGAGTGACGTCAAGCTAGAAGCACACTTATGCTTTTTTTTATTACTTTGTAGCGCTCATTTATTGACCTGAAGACATTGATAAAATGTGGTCTTCTAAACACATTGAAGACATATCTCGGCTTTTGACCTGAGATTGGTTCCTGTCATATTAAAATATGATGTTGCGCGACTAGTCTAGTCCTATCTTCGCTGCAAACTGAATTCTATCAGTCAAGCTTCCAATGTGGCCAACATACCGCTAGGTAGCTCGCCATTACGGTGCACTGTGAATTGTTGGTATTGGATGGTTGGAGGCAACAGGCTACAGGAAGACTTGCCGGGACCTAAGTTTCTTGATAGTTGGCACTCACCACCAGTCAGCAAGGCGATGTATCTGCAACCTTGAAGGAATTCATGTTCCTTCTGAGATTCAAAACCGCGTCACCCAGTGCGGCCTGCAGTCACAGACGTTAGTACTGAGCTATTCAGGCTCTCGATTGACCTTCTGTAAGACTGTATTGGATATTTTCGATTGGACACTAGTCAGTTAGAATTCAATCTACATTACACTAGTTACTGACTAGTGTCCAATCAAAAATATCCAATACAGTCCTACAGGAGGTCAATCACGAGCCTAAATAGCTCAGTGGTGGTAACGTCTCTGACTGCAGGCAGCACTGGTTGGGACATGAGTTCCTTCAAGGTTGCAGATACATCGCCTTGCTGACTGGTGGTGAGTGCCAACTAGCAAGAAACCTAGGTCCCTGCAAGTCTTCCTGTAGCCTGTTGCCTCCAACCATCTAATACCAATGATATACCGTGTATTAGTTCTATCTTACTTAGCCAATAACTTTTTTGAAGAAGAACGTTAGCTAAAGGTTAAGGTGGGAAGATGTTTACGATGAGACAAGTAAAACGTAGTACAAATCTATAAAGTCAATGACTACTGATCTAAGTCGTGTAGAGTGCCCAGCTAGAGTCGTCAGAAAGTTAAGAACCAAATGGTTAACGAAACTCAGTGGCATAAAATTGAGGTAATAGGATGTGAGCACTTTCACTAATATGATAAAGTGAAGTCATTCAAGAACATTCATAAGGTTTTATAAATTCTCAACATAATATATACAACTGGTTAGGACTACTTAAAAAGATGTGAAGATATGGCTAAATTTA